GCCTCAGGCCCTTAGGATGTGATCATAAATATGCCTTTATTCAAAATGGTCGCCTTCTCCAGCTGTCTGATCTCTTCTGCTGAATGGTTACTTTGAAAGCTATAAAAGTACTAATCTTGTGAGCATGTTACGACTGGATATTTGCAGATGTACAGTCTTGCCTGCTCACTGGAGTGCAGTTAAAGTATGTAGCCATTGGCCAAAAAGAAAAAAAAGGCTGGTTTTTACAAGGAGCTGTAACAAAAATACATTTATCCAAAAGCTAGGGTAATAACTTTTAAACCTTTAAAAAGGATGTAGCACCAGATGCCCTCTGAACCTGCATGTATTAAAAAAAAAAGGGGAGATAGAGGAGAAAATGTATCCTGAAAAGAAACAGGGATGAGGAAGATGGTAAAATTAGCAGTAAGATATAGAAACACATCTCCCACACATCTGAGGCAGCAAATCAGTTGTGTGTGGGTCCCTTTTGTTACTGAGGGGCTTGGTTTGCACAATTATGCAGGTGTAGTTTTTATTCTGTCCTTACAAAGTTGATTTCTTCCACATTTTCATCAGATATTATGTTTACTTCCCTGGTCTCATCCTTAACTTCTGCACTACCGACGTCCATAAAGAAAAGTGATATCTTAACAGAATGCGATACTTGAAGTATCCTGACTTCCTGCATCTGGAAATCTCGAAACCTGTTTTTCCTGTGAATGTTGGAGCCATCTGCCACATAACCCATTTTGAACTGCTCGCGTCATCGTTGCAGTGGATAAGTCATCACCCGCTGCCTTTCCATCCAAACCCAAGGCTGGCAGCCGTAATTCAGTTTGCGTTAGCCCAGCTCTACGGCTGCACCGAGCTTGAGCAGAGCAATTGCTGCCTGGTCTGTGGGCGAGCAGCGCTGCGTCCTGTAGCAAGATGGGACTATAGGAGCTACTCATACCTAGCAGTGTACTGACACGTCTGCAGTAACTCCAAAAATCAGATAGATTTTAATCACGTCTTCATCTGAAAACTGTTGAAATGTAGTAAGGCTTGTTTTGGCTTTGCCTTTAACATACACTGTAGAGGATGAGAAGACAGGAACCTCTGAGAGCTGAGATATGCGCCCTGTTGCTTAACTGTAGATTTATAAGAATAACTTAGTTCTGTAATAAATAACGTCAGTGTCCCAGAAAGTTGATTTTAGCTTATTGGAGCTTTTTTTCTTCTGTACTAATGAGTATTGCTCTGATGCCCTGGGTGATTTACTCCTGTTGCCTGAGTTAATCTTGCAGCAAGATAAATATGAGGGTTTTTAGTGATGAAATGTTGCTGATTGTTGTTCTCTTTACAGTCAATCCTATCCTAGTTGGCAGCGTTCACAAGAGTTATGTTACCTCCTCAGTGTGAATTACTCTGACTTCTGTTACTTGCTTCGGGTCGGCAATGGGAGGCTCAGGAAGAGGGAACATGGGTAAGGAGCGTGTTTGGGAGAATCCCCTGTGTGAGGAAGGCAAGAGGAAGATGAAGGGGACTGAGCAGGAAGCAGCACGGCTGCTGCCTTGCAGGGGGCCTGGAAGGGTCTGGTCTCTCTCCTTATGCTGCAGCTCAAGGGGGGATCACTCGGTGCTGGCAGAACCATCTGGGTATCCCTAAGAAAATGAGAGGAGGAGCAGCAGTACGTGGAGAGTAGAGATGAACTCGAGTGGAGAATTAAAGCATGGTTTCTCATATTTCTCAACTGTGTATTCTCGCTCCTGCCTTGCATCAGTGGTTGTGTGGCTGCAAGATCGGCGGGTTCAGAAAAATACCCCCTTCCCCCCCACCAAAAAAAAGCACGCTTTGTGTCAGATGAGCTCACTGAAGCTGTTTGCTTTGCAGCTGTTTGAGCATTCGGTCAGACACAAGAGAAAGCATTACCCATCCTGGCAGCCGCCAGCGTCGCTGGCGCTTGGAGACCCAGCGTGGCGGCCAGGACTGGCACGGTGCTGAGGAGCTGGGGAATGTGCCCATCAGTGCTGGGGTGCAAGGAGTCTGCTGCCTTGTACAAGAGGGGAACATCTGAGGGGTTTGAGGAGGTGGTGCTTTTGTGTGGGAGATGTAAACAGGGTGATGGTGCATTGCGGAGGCAACAGGTATCTCTAATGAGGAAGCTCAAGGCGCAGCTCAAATGGAGCTTGCTCAAGCAAATCCCTGCGGTTGCCTAAAGAGGTGGTCTCGGCCGTATGCTTGTTGGATCGGAAGCTGATGCTTTGGTCAGCTTTTGGTCTCTTTTAGTCCGTCCTTTTTTGAGGGATGAAGTCTGGTTGCTTGTTTTCCAATAATAAACCAGTTATCCATACTCAAAGAAGTGAGTAACACAGCTCAGGAAGTGTCTTCAGCCGGTAAATCCCAGTCTTGCGTAAGGAAGAGAGAGGTTTTCTTATTAACTCCTCCCGACTTGTAACGGATTTTGAGGCTCTCATGAATCCTGCACTTGGTATTTCCTATTCCTGTAAGGTAAATGTGAGAATCTGGATCGACTTTGAGAGTTCCTTTCCTCAAACAGCGTGCCAAGACGGAGGCGCAGTGGTGGGGACGGGGTCCTCTGCAGGGCTGGGCTGCAGTGGGGTTCTCCCCATCCCTTCCTTCCCTGCACTGCAGCTGCCCGGCCACGCAGGAGGCCGCAGTGAGTGAGAGAGCTGTTTGCCATAGCTTGAGTATGTACGCAAGTGTTTGTAGGATCAAAGCCAACAGTTGTCTAATCTTGAAATCGAGATTAGAGAATCAGTAACTTTGCCAAGAAATGTGTTAATTGAAAGAACAGTGGTTGAAACAACTGCCTGTGTGGAGGGGTACAGCTCTCTAGTCACACCTCTTAACACCAAGATAGATGTACATTTAACACCGACGTCTTCATTAATAATTAATTTGGTCAGTTTTCAGTCAGTTATTAGAGACTTACATTGGGTATATTTTCTGCTCGGAGAAATTACCATACCTTCCAGCTATGTACATTTTCTTGACTGATTTGTTACAGGAATTTACTACAGATAGGTTGAAGAGTTATTTCACAATGTAGCGGTGAGAAGAGAGGGACAGATAAAATTGTGGAAAAGACAAACTGAGATCATCTCACATCTATGCTCATTTTATCATGTTTTTGTAGAGGCTTTTAGTTTGTCCATTTTAAAGCATTCATACACAATATACTTCTGAAGTAGTCACTTACAGGGAACTGGCACTACATTTTTATAGTAGTTTTGTGGCACATCATAGCTGAAAAGTCAAGGGTTTAAGTAAAGTAAAAGAAAAGCTGTGCTTTTCTTCCTTCCGTGTCTTAAAGAAAAGGAAATTTAAAAGTCTCTTGAGGGAATAAATATTATTGACAGAATAAATACCGCACTGATTTCTATGTTTTAAGGTATATCTCGTAACTGATCTGTTTTGCAAACTGTAGCTAAATCTTTGGAAAGAACTGGAAATCTAAAGCTATGACCACGATGGCATGTTGTACTGTTTTTTCTGGGATGGAGTTTAATTTTTTCATAGTAGCTCCTATGGTGCTGTGTTTTGGGTAGTGACTAGAAGAGTGCTGCTAACTCAGGGATGCTTTAGTTACTGCTGAGCAGCGCTTGCACAGCCTCAAGCAGATGGCGGGACCTCCTCTCCCTCGGGGAGCGGGCATGAGGGGTGACAGGGCCTTCTCTCTCTTGAGGAGCTGGTATGAGGGGCAGCGGGGCCTTGTCTCCCTCAGGGAGTGGATATGAGGGGTGGTGGGGCCTCCTCTCCCTCAGGGAGTGGGTATGAGGGGTGACAGGGCCTTCTCTCCCTTGAGGAGCGGGTATGAGGGGCAACAGGGCCTTGTCTCCGTCAGTGGGCAAGGATGAGGGATGGTGGGGCCTCTTTTCCCTCAGAAAGTGGATATGAGGGGTTATGGGGCCTCCTCTCCTTCGAGGAGCAGGTATGAGGGGCAGCAGGGCCTCCTCTACCTCAGAGAGCAGGTACGAGGGGCGACGAGGCCGCATCTCCCTCGGGGAGTGGATATGAGGGGTGGCGGGGCCTCTTCTCCCTCAAGGAGCAGGGATGAGGGACAGTGGGGCCTCTTCTCCCTCAGAGCAGGTCTGAGGGGTGACAGGGCCCCCTCTCCCTCAGGGCACAGGTATAAGGGGCAGCAAGGCTGTTCATAGTTGTCTCCTCTAGGAATATTGAGTTTGCTCTGAAAATCTCAAATGAAATATTGACTACTTTAACATTAGATCTCATGAGCTTTATTTTCATTTTTTTCTGAAGGAAGTTAAAGCTTGGCATATGTGCAGAAGCTACATCCTGCTTACCCTTTGTGAAGTATTAAACACTTTGTAACTACCTCCGTAATGTTAGTTAATAGTGACTTCTATAGTTAAACAAACACGTACTGGAGCTGCTAGTGCACTGCCTCCGCGATAATGAAGCTTGGGATTCTTGATCACTAATCCTGTCTGTCCTTTCCGTGCTATCCATAGCCCAGGGCAATGGGTTTAACTTTAGTGGTTTAATTTCCTCTTTTGCAAAAAGAACACTTGAAGTATTATTCCCATTAGCTTTTTATTAGCATAATTAGTCTCTTCCATGGTTTGTTCCTAACAGGAAAGCGCTCTGCTGTTACATGTCATTCTTCTATGCGAAAATCTGCATGTGGTAAACATCAACTGATCCTGGGTGTTCTCGATGTTTAACATTGCATTCTTCGTGTATCTTGGATTCTTCTACTTTCAGTAACTACCACAGAATATAGTATTTTAAAACCAATCTTTAAATGTCAAGTTGCCTGGTTGCTTCTGCCTGGTCCTTGCATTCTGTATGTAATTTGAGTTCTGTTTGTGAAGGTGAAGCACAGTAATAACAACATGTGTTGATGATAATACAAAGTTCTTTGCGAACTTGGTTGAGTTTGGAAACGTTTTAGAAAAAAGTCAAGAGAATTTATTATCCTGAAAGCTTGAATTTTCTTTAACATCACCGGGTCAAAATGTAAACTAATTTAAAGTTTTGTTGTTGCAGGCAAAATGCCAGCCCCTGAGCAGACCCCGATGGTGGAGGAGGGTCTGCCGCAGACAACACGGGAAACTGCCACAGGCCCCGGCATGGAGCCAGAGGCGACCGCCACCACCATCCTGGCTTCTGTGAAGGAACAGGTACGTGCGTGTGCTCAGCAGTTCACTGTGCCATCGGGAGCTCATCGCTGTCTTCTGTCACATTGCTGGAATAAACAGTCGCTGCTCATAAATGCGTTGCCTAGCGTTGGTGTAGTTTATTTTGCAGGTCAGAATGTTAGAGTCTCAATATAAAGGGTTCATTTGACGGCACCGAACAGAAGCGTCATTATGGTGTTCTGTATCCCTTGGAATCTGTGCACTGCTGTTGTAAGTCAGACTCGAAATGCAGGTTTATTGTTTAAAAAAGAGAAGCTAGCGTGGAATTGATGCAGCGTTGAGAATCGGTCCTTTTTGTGCTTTCTGGAAAGCTGAGTACAGCATTACAGAAACTTGCACATACAGGTTTTGCTGTGATTAATTGTGCTTTGTTAAAGAATGGGGTTTAAACTTCAAGTTTTCTTTCAGTTATCAATACCAAGATAGTAATATATTTCAAAGCAGCATCACATCTATGGACATGTATCTTGGTGATAGAAAAAAATTTGTGTTTGAAATCAAGTTCAGCCTTAATTTGTAGAGGTCATTCAAGGGGAAGAAAATAGCAGGTTTACAAAGAAACGTTCTAACTCAAGTTGTTAATTTTGTTTAAAAAACCACAGAGAAGTAGTAGCTCAGCTCTAATGATCAGGACTAGAAATAATGAACATCTTTCTTGGATTAATGCATAAATTGCAACATCTGAATGTCAGAATAAATGTGCTTTGCTGTCTGTTTCAGAACTTCTTTTAAGATAAATCACTACTTGATCCAAGATATATTGACTTCTCATATGTTGTCTCATTCATATTTTTAAAAAAGAAAATGAGAATTAGATTATATGACCTCAGATAGAACCTTAATTATAGAACCTTAAATCTTAAATGAAAACTTTCTGCAGGATGATGAAATGTGGGTATTTATTTTCATTCCTAAATTAATAGTTTCCAAAGTATTTTAAGATGAGAATAGCAGCTCTAATAATTTATTACTGTCATTGAAACTAATAATAAGTCTTCTAATGCAAAGGATATTAATGCTGGAGGCTATGTAGATACAAGTAATTGCAGGTATCAGAGTTACAGTGCTCTTGAGTCACCTCTCACCATCTGACACACTGCCTTGCCTTGTGCTGTCTTAGCTTACCACAGATGTCAATGAGAACTCATTATTTAGAGTACATTTGTGGTGATTTGGGGTTGGTCCGTTTCACGTTGCAGTTCACAAGAAGATGCTGGTAACGGTAGCTTCGTTGAGCAGAACTGCAATAAATGGCAGTACGGTAATGGCTCAGGTTGGCCAGGCAGTGACCTGGGCACTGCCCACAGTTGCTGCTGAGCAGCTCTGGTGCAGCAGTGATTGAACGTAGAGTTCTGACAGCGTTGTCTATACTGGGTACGTACATGATAAGTATAGGGTAAAGAGGCATTTGTTGGCATCCCCTTTCCTACCCAAGAAGTGTGTTTATCTTTTTCTTGTTCTTAGAGAAGAAATTATAATGGAATATTTCCTCATTTTGAAAAAGAGGATAAAACCTCTTCACCTTTCCATTCATAAAAAGACTATTAAATATGTGGACTAAACTGAATTCTGATGAAAGGAAAAAATAAAATTAAAATTGTGTTTAATAGTGAAACAGAAACTTCAGGACTGTATCTTAACTTTAATATGTACAGACACATGAGAATGGATACAAGGGGGGAAGATGTAAATTGTCCTTCACTCTTGAACATGAAAGAATTGAGAGCTAAACTGTTGCTTTCTGGTGTTTCTTCTGTTGATAATAATTATGGACACTGACACATTCAACACCCTTCCTGTATGGCAGAAGGCCCAGAACAGAATATTTTCCAGTGCAGTTATTTACTTTATTAAGCTTGAACAGAAACTGCTCTGCTGTTTGCTATGGCTTAACTTCCTTTTGTGCAGGGATCTGTACTTGCAGAACGTCTGTATTTGTGAGACAGTTGCCACACCTTAACTTCATTACTGCAGAAACACTGATGCCAGTGGAAACACAATTCAGAAAAGCCTTTATTATTATTATTACTTGTCAGATTGTGCAAGATTTTAACTTAATAAAAACTTCTAAAACTACTACAGTAGTTCTGAAATGGGTAGGTAAATTTACTGAATGACTTCAAGCTTTCTACCATAGTGGCACAGACCGGTTAAATAAATGTTGTACTAATTACTCTCTGAACCCTACAACCCACTTTAAATGAACTCTCCGTTTGTTTCTTTTTTCTGTGACCTCAAATCAGTTTAAAGCACCTTTTTAACCAATCTGGTGTGTGTCCCCTGAACCCTGAGCAGTCTCTCATTGACACAACACGAACAGACAGCTGTGTAAACCTCCCTTGATGGTATTATAGAAAAGAAACGTTTCATCTTCGGTGTTAAAGTAATATGTGCAGAACAAGTGTAATCTGAAGAAGTTTAGATTACTACAGCTTTGTGCTTTTCTGACAAAGCTCAAGTTTTGTTTTGAGGTGAACACACATCCCTAATTCCTGTAAATTTGACACAACCACCACTGGCATTGGTTGGGATGGGGAGAGAGTTCTTCTTTTAGCAGGTCAAGGTGTTCTGTTTGCAGATACACCAGTGGAGGTACCTTTGGGTGAAAATCAAGGGAAGGACTGACCTTGCTGGTGCAAGTGGCATCTCTATTAGAGGAATTCCTCTTTGAATGAGGCAGATCTCAGGTCTAACTCTACTGAAGCTGAAACATAGTTCGGCCTTTTTTTCTTTTACTGGATTTGCTAATGGTGGCTTTGTTTGTCTTTTCACTTCTAAACTGTTAAAAATTTTCTATGCTATAATGAATAGAAGTATCTTAGGATATGCTAAAATAAGTTTTAAGTAGAACTAAAGCATTCAAATATACGTGTCTGTATTTCTGAATCCTGGGGAGTGCCTGGATAAAGGTTTAGCTGATTTCTGCGGGGAGTCTCGTATCTGTATTACAAGTAAATTGAGCGTTTTCATACTAAAGCAAGAAGTTGTTACAAACAACAACATCATAGCAGTAACTTTTTTGGGGGTGCTGGTTGCCACTACTGCAGGTAGATTTGAAGAATCACTGCTACTTTACATTGCAAGCTGTGTGCCTCTGAATTTGGAGTGGATTGCTGCTGAACTGGCAGGATCAAATGGGATCACTTGGAATTGTGAATTCCTGCCTAGCATATTAGTTTTCCTCTCCAGCAAAGAGTCCAAGAGAAGCGATCTCGCAGGAAAATCTCCCCATGGATCCAGTTTCCACAACAAGGTGAATTCTGGTGCCAGTTCCTTTGCTGAGAGGAGCACTCCAGCATGGCAGGGTTCCTTCAGTCCCTCTGCTCTTGGGTCTGCTTGGGTCTGACACCCACAGATGGACACATTTCCACCTCTTCTTCCGTAAGCGGTGACAACAGAGGCAGAAGGGTTGGATGTCCTTTCAGGTGAATAATCATCAACCTCTTGGGTTTTCCTAAGTGTTTTCCTACATGTGTTCACTTTTGTTCTACACTCCAAACCCTTTTCCGTTTGTATAACTATTTAACCATATCATATACTCAGAAATTCTGCACTTACTTTCCCCTCTCTTTATTGCTTAAGTCAAAAATTCTTTACGTAGTTTTTGAGATGGTTTTTATAGGGTTTGGGGCAGGGGGAGAAGGCAAAACTCAAAGTTTTTCAGATGGAAATGGAGGAAAGGATGCGTTCTCTGTACAGAAAATAATTAATTATTACATGCTTAAAAGCATCTCTACTAGAATGACAGTATTTTGACATTAAGTCTGGGAGATTTCTTTCCCAATTCAGCTGTGTAGTGCTTTATATCAAATACTCTGTGATGTGGTTGTGTGGGCATGGCACTTCAACACGATACCTGAAAAAAGACTTAGTGAAGGCACTTTCAGTGATTGGGCACAACCACCGGGCAGTCCCACTTTGCAGTTCTGATTTGGATGCGTCTGGTGCTCAGCTGGGTGCATTGCTTCTGAAGTGAGGGTGGTACTTTTAGCAAATGGACTTCCAAGCTTTGTGCGAGTGAAACAAAAATCTTTGATGTTTTCTGAATGACTGCAAGAACTGAGTGTTTTTTCCAACTCTTAGTACTGTGTTCAGTTGCACGGGTCATTCTTCCCTATTGAGTCCCTGAACTTTGCAGTTTAGTGTTTCTGCTGTTTACGAGCATTTCCAGATTTGGTGAATCAAGCCTGAGAAAGCCGGTTCCCAAGGCTCTTATTCTAGGCTGAAATATACGCCACTTCTGTCTCAGATGAAACTGCTAACTCATTTCCATAACCAAAGTTCTGTGTACTCCATTATTCATATGAGGGTCTAGAAATGATATTTTCTTTCTAGCGTGTACTGTTAGGCTTCTGGGGAGAAAGTCCCCTTGAAAAAGAGCCTGCCTAGAGCTGTGGGTACCCCTGCGTTACACTGGAGTATCTACACCTTTTGTAACGCTTTTATGTCTAGTACCAACCTGTGTACTCAGCAGCAACTGAGTTCTCATCGCCAGCTGCCAGAACAGAGCTTGGCTTCAGCACCGGTCTAAGGACACCCAGCACCACCACCAGCATTTCCAGAGAGGAGCTGCTCAGCTGCAGTCAGTGCATTCCTCAAGTGGCTTTCTTCCTTTCTGTGAGCTTTCTGTGCGCTGCTGAAATTTTGATCCCCCATCAGCCAGAGCAGCACTAAACTGTTTGACCAGACTGGTGAACAATGCCGGCATAACAGTATTAAGGGCTTTAATGGTCTGCTGCTGTTGAATACAGAGTGAGTGTGATCAGCCAGTAATTGTAGCTGTGTCACTTCACATCCTGTAATCTGGGATTCTCTTCACCCTGTCCAATGCTTTGCTCTTTTGTCTTCTATTTTGGAAGATGCTGAGATACTGAAAGCATGCAAATGCAGTTGTGTGCGTGAGTAAACTTTATTTTTATGGAAGATGTTACAGTTGGTATAATATGCTTAGGTGAAAGTACAGTTTTCTTCTGAATAGATTC